TGGGTGTAAAACCCAATTCCTAATTTGCTTCTTAGTATCTTGTTTCTCAAGTCCCGGTGAGTAAAAGATTTCAAAAATGCAGAGGGTTGTAAAAGAATGTTTCAAACTCCTAGAGTCAAGAGGCCTGGCTCAGAATCATCCTTCCCTCTTCCCCACCATCACTACTCGGTTTAGACTTACGGTAAACCACATAATAAAAGCGTAAACAGAATGTTTGTTTGCAGAAACATACAAAGAGCTAAACTGCGATTTGCTGGTATGTATTGAGGAACATTTTAATTGTTGCAAAAAGATAAGCAGTGATAAGGAAAAACTATGGTGTGTATGAGTTAAGATTGTGCTCCTCTTATTAAAAAGCAGATGGTGGGCCAGGGATTTAGCTCAGTGGCATAAGCACCTGCCTGGTAAGCGCTCGGTTGTGAGTTTGATCCTTGGTATAAAAACAAAACAAAACAAACAAAAAAGCAGATGGCTTTAGAGTAATATTAGATGTATTAAGAGGAATGTGACATTCCTTTCCCTGGATGTCCTTTCTCCCCAGCCACTCATCCTTCAGTATTCACTCATAACGTCATCCTGAATCCCCACCACCAGGATTAATCCTGCCTCCTGCACACATTCAGAAAACTTCATATGCTTCATGACCTGTAACTATGCCCATACTCATTCTTTTTCCTTCAGGACTACAAGCTCATTGAGGACAAGATCCATGACTAACACATTTTTGGGGCCTTTCAACATCATACCTACTGGACACTCAGTAAGTCTTTGATGAATGAACTGCAACACGATTTTCCCATTATGTTAAGTCCAAGGTCTCGGAAACAAGCAAAATAACTGGAACAGATTCAGAATGGAACAGTGAACCAAAAAGACTAAAGAAGTGGGACAAACAGAATCTGTATGTGGAAATAACAATAAAAAACAGTTCAAGGGATTCAGCCTGGAAAGGTGACCTCTGGAAAATGATATCATAAGCATCTTCAAATATATTAAAGAGATAATGTTAAAAGAGTGCCCAAAGTTCTTTTATTGGAGTGAAACCAGATCCGGCTCAGGTTTTAACAGGGCAATGTGAGTCGGGGGGTGGCGCCTACCCAAGAGCCATGGAGCACAGCTATCGGGCCGGTGTGACAGAAGGCAGGGTGGACGCCGTGCCTTCCCCTGTCCTGTGTGAGTGGACAGGCCGAGGCACATCATGTGTGCACACTTATTTGTGAAACAATTGCAAGCTTTTTAAGTTTAACATTTTTTTTTCTCTAAGACACTAAAACATGTTTTAAAGGAGAAGAAGAATTTAGTCCAGGAAAGAATGGTAGAGAATGGAGCCTGGGATTTGGAGAGAAAATGGAGCTAACCCACAGAGAAAGAGAGACAGCCTTTGAAGTCTTGACGATCAAGGACCGTGGCTTAAGGACCAGACTCTTAAATCACGTGGCATTTACTGCCCAAGATAAAAAAAATTCTTTTCTGGATCAGTGTGTGTACTTCAGAATGGCTAGGTTCCAAGATCAGTCTTAACTTTCCAAGGGCAACATTTGGAAGGCTTCCTGTAAGGACAGAGCAGAGCCAGTTTCCAGAAGGGGCAGCTTAATGACTTCTCCCCCTTCTACCCCAAATCATTAAACACTGCTCCTTTCCCAGAGCTGAAGTTCACGCTGAGGGCAAAGGGAATTAAATGGGGAGGCTAAACCTGCAGCTGAGATTAGAGCACTGCCGAGTGCCTAATTTTAGGTCCTTGCTGCCCCAGCTGACGTCCTGCACCGCTGGCCTGGCCACGAGGCCACGGGTGCATGCCTGAGTGGGGCGAGCCACTCCCTGGCCATCTGCAAAAGCAATTAGCTTGCTGTTGGGGGTGTTTGGAGAGGGACTACCAATAATTTCTCCTTCAACGAATGTTTCTTCAGGTGTTCAGGAATCAACGAGGAAAATGTCAGAACTTGGCAGACATTCATTCCCGCATGCTTGCCATTCTCAGTGTTCACGCTTTCCCACTTAAGAGCGGCCTCCAAAAGGGAACTAATCCTGGAATTCCTGTTTTTTCATGGCGAATACCCCCTGATAAATTTCCTCTGGCTCTAACGTACTATTACAACCTAGAAAAAGTGTTGTTCAGGATTTAACTTGATGAAAATTGACATAGATGGACAGGTGGGATCCTTTCATTCTGCAGGGAATTTCTACACCACTCTTCTCCTTGGAGGTAGGCTGTGCCCGGCTCTCCACATATTTGCCAGGCACAAGTCTCATGCTTTAATTGTCTTCTTCAGAGGGCAGACAATAAGAGCTGGCATCTTTGAGATCAAAGGGGAAACAGAATATATTTTAAAGTGACAACTCTGTTATCCTGCAACCAGAATAATAAACTGATATAAATATAAGCTCTAAATGATTCCATACTGAAATGCTACCAGAGACCAAGATTTTTTTTTGCATAATTATGGCAAGGAAACTCTCCTTACACAGCATGTCTTTTCTTTTCTTTTTTTGCACAATTCTCATGCCTGCGGTGGCCCACCTTGGGGATGGAGACTGGGTAACGGGAACCAGGCTGCACCTCAGGCTCAGGGGAGGCACTTTGCTTGGATAAAGTGCTCTTGGCTGGGTACTGCTGGGATGGTGCACAGACCAACCCCAGCTGCTTGTCTCCATTTCTCCTTTTTCCTTCCAATTTTCCTGGCTGCTTTGCTTTTCCTGTCCCGCATCCTAATGTTGATCTCTCTATATCCCTACACCCACCCTCCAACACACATGCACACACACACACACACACACTCATGTGCAAGCACACACACACACGCACACGCACACGCACCATTGCACCCCCTGTCTCTTGGCGCCGGCCTTTCATCTTCTCCCTCAGGGATTTGAGATGTCGCTGCAGGAAGTGCTTGTCCGCAGAGGCAGCAGCAGCAGAGCCCTGTGGCTTTGACAAACCTCATTTAATTGGGAGGAAGCCAGGAGAATTTGAAAGAACTGAAACATCCACGAAACTCCTTTTATCAGGCATAATTTAAACTCTGCATGGAAAAACCCCTATATGTATAAAGAAAAGTCAACTTCCCTCCTGCTGTGAGCACTCCTCCTCTCCCCCAGCACAGGCAGGCTCCTGCAAGATTCCATCTTTTCATTTTTCTAAAAGTGTCAAAGTAGATTTGGGCTCTGTGGCTGGGTGAACAGAGAAGGAATACAGATTATTCCATCTCTGTCACTGGAGTATGCACAGACACACATACACAAACTCACGTACACACATACACACGTACACACACACACACACACACACACACACGCCCTTGAGGCATGCGTGCACCACAGCCTCTCTGTTGGTGGTTTTTACTTTGAATCATTCAGGAAGAATCAAAAACCACATTTCTCATAACACATCAGCCTGGACACTGATTGTTTCTTCCTAATTACCCTTCGACAGGCAAAAACTGGTGCCCAGAAAACTCTGAAGATCCTCAATAGTTCTCAGTGTGCAGATTAATAGACCCTGGAGGAGGGCGAGTGGGGAAGTTTTTTTTTTAAGTAAAGAGAAAGAATGAATGAATGTGTGTGTGTGTGTGTGTGTGTGTGTACACCCAAGCATCTATGTATGATATCGTACAGTTAGAAATTCCAACCCCGAAGAAGAAAGCCAAGAAGGATCTCTGGGTTCAGGCTGGAAAACAAGGGATCAGGGTGGGAGGAGGTGGGGCTGGAATGGGGCATAGGTGCCAGGGAGGGGCACAGTAGGTCTGCCGGCAAGGTCTCCCCTTCCACCCCGAGACCAATCCTTGTCCCTCCTTCCCTCCAAATTCCACTTCAGGTTCGCCTTCAGCCTAACCCATATCACTTGAATTGTTTTCCTTTCTCCAAAGAATCGCCTTTAGCACACACGGCCCCTGAACATCTGCAGCTGATTATGCACAGATTTGGGCTGTTTAGATATGATTTGTGCTAATATGTGTATGAGAATGCCTTGTTTCCTCTTCCTCACCCTCTTTTCCTCCCACTCTGAGATCTGTGAGGCCAAGGACAAGCCTCTTGTTTCCCTCAACGTTTTATAGCACTTCATATGTTCTTGACACTTAATGGCAACTTAATAAATTCTAATGGCTGACTCTTCTTCCAGGGTTAAGTAAGACGTTAACCTCGGTTGTACAATTATGGTTATTTTTGGACATTTTAAAGGGCTCACTTTAATAATAAAATTCCTCAACGAATCTCAAACTAAGAGTTTTGGCTATTGCAGGGCGTTGTCTTAGATAAGGTCATGCGGCATCGGTAAACACTGGTGACGGGGCCCAGCCTGCAGTGTGAGCTCCCCCCTCCCTCTGCCCCCCCCCCCCCGAGCTTCTCCTGGCCTTGCTAGCATGGCTTGCTTTTCTCTAATTGAGGATTCTGAAAACTTTTCATTTGAATGTGGATATATTCAAAGAAAGGCCACTTACAGGTGATCCCCTCAGAATGGCTCAGGCTTGGCCTGTGTGGCCATCTCAGAGTCCCTTGTGGCCCCACCCCGGGACACATGGGGGGCTCCCACCACCTGGCACTGGTGCCTGGGCTTGGAGGCTGACTTCAGGGTGACCTGTGCGCCCCACCGCAGCCGCCCCGTGGGGCTCCCTCCGACCTGCCTGTCCCTTCCTCCCCAGCATGTGTTTCCACCCCGAGAGGCCTGGCACTGCCCTGCAGCAACCCTGTCCTCTTACTCCATGGAAGGGAGAAGGGGCTTGTTAGAAACTTTGTTTGCTTCTTCTGGCAGAGGCCAGCTTCCTCTGACCCCGTTCCCGAGTGGATGTGGGTGCAGGGTCCCAGACACCTCTCCCTGGCAGTGCCTCCGAGGCTGAGGGGCTCTCAGATGAACCTCAGGCAATTCCAGGTCTCCTCTTGCTCTCACAGACACATGAACCTCAAATTTCACTTCTGGGTGCACAGTCTGATTCTTCAGCGCTGAAAAAAGCCACCGACAGCCACAGCGCATACGCACACATCCACACAGTACACGCCCCACTCACCGTCCAGGAGCTGGAACAGCTGGGGCGGCAGGGCCTGGAAATACTCGTGGTCCAGCGCAGCTCGGGCGGACACGCGGGCTCGGGGAAAGCCTTTCAGCATCCGGGAGGCCAAGTCCTCCGCCCCGGGAACCTCGCCCAGCCTGGAAAAGTGGGAGAGGAAAAGTTTCTCCAGAGGACTCCATTCTTAAAAACAAAGGCAGGAAAAGCAAAGACCAAAAAACGACTTAGATTGAGGACGGTGTTTCAAATAGAACCTTCCTGGGATTACAAAACTTGACAGGAAGTAGAAAAATAATCCTGACACTGGAATTCTTCCCTGTCCCCTTCCTAAAATGAAAGAGAAAGTCTCAATGTTCAATTGCCCAGCTCCCCTGCCCTCCGCGTGTCTCTGGGTACCACCTGCATGTAAAGGATGTGGGATTGCAATCAGGGAAACAGAAAAGCGTAACTAAGAGTTCTTCATGGAGGGACATAGCAGCCCAAAGCCCGACTGACCACATGGCCCACGACCACGTGCCAGAGTCTGTGGCAATGAAAGACTTCGAGGAGCAGGGAGAGAGAGGCGACTCTGGAGGGGAAACTTCACAGGGAATATTTTTATTTTTAGCATTTCTACAGCTCAGCCCCAGGGTTAACAGGCAGTTCTTTTGGTTCCCTTTGGGAGGGAGGAGAGCAAAAGAGATAATTAAGCACTCAAGTTCCAGTGCGGATGAGCCCTCAAGTAGACCTTATGTCGAATTACACACTTGGAGATGAGCAAATCATTTATTGAGCAACTGTTCTGGCTCAGTATGAGCCAGTCAGTGGTTGGCTCTGGAAGGTACAGGGGGATCTTTCCTAACATTTACTCAGTTATATAAATGCATATGTACAATTGTAAAGAAAAGGCCTTTGCTCTGCCCTGAATACTTACTCCAAAATTCATAAGATTATATTAAAGGTGGAGCCTTTGGAGCTGCTTAGTTTGTGAGGGCGACGCCTTTGTGAGTGGGATTAGCATCTTCCCAGAAGAGGCTGCCTGGTGCAACTTGTGAAGGGACCCCCAGAAGGTACTCTCAGAAGCGCAGAGCCCCCAGACGCCAGACAGATCTGCATCTGCTGGCACCCCAGTCTTAGCCGTCCTAGCCTACAGAACTGTGAGCAGTAAATTTCTGTGGATTACAAATCAGCCAGTGTAAGGTATCTTGTTATGGCAGCCCACACCTAGAATGGGAGGCGTTGCCGGGAAAGTTTTCTTGAGGAAGCCACCTGTGAGCTGAGAGCAGGGAACTGGGGCCCTCGAGGGGCAGGCATTGTCCCAAGAGGGTGCTAGTGCTGAGCTCAAGGTGGAAGAGAGGAAAAGGAGTTTAAGGTAGGGAATCAAGGCTTCTTGGCTCATGTGGGACAGGAAGAGAGAGAGGGGGCACCTGATAAAAAGCTGGGGAGATTGCTTGTGTGGGGGGATTCAGTAGGACTTGAGGGTCTTCATGTTTACTTACAGTGCTTGAAAGTCTTTGATAACCTAGTGCCAGTCAGTCCTGTACCCCAATCCCTACAGCTCACAGACAGCTTTTCAAGTAGAAAGTCACAGAGGGAAAAATACATAGATCTTGCAGGACAATTAAGCATGGACTGACATTCAGAAATTAAATTGCATGGCCATGAAACAATCAAATAAAAAATAGAGGGGTTACTCAAAGTGCAAGGAGGCAGGAACAGGGCAGGCTGTGGCCCAGTGTTATGATCTAATTTTTGCATAGCATTTGAATAAGAAACTTTTAGATATCTGATTCCCTGACACAAAACTGTTTCTGCAAACAAATTGCAACTCTTCAAGCCAGGAGTCATCATTTCACAGACAGAGAAGAAATTTGGAGAACCCTAGTGCGTGCAAGTTTTCAGGTCGGTTAGGACAGAAAGGAGCCTGTGATGGGTGCCTGCTCTTCTGGACGTCCTGAAGGAGGATTTCTGTTGTAGTCAGGGGTTGTGAGAAGAACAACTAGAATCAGGACACGGACTTTATATATTATTTTATGATGGTCACCCAGAGTTAACACAAGAAAATGCAGGAAATCTATCCAGAACACTAAAGACTAGAATATTTAGCCAAGGGCCTGAATCCCATAGCAATGCCCTACATGAGTCCAGATGAAAATCTAGAATCCATGACAGTGCCTCCCCCGAGTCCAACTGGAGGTCTATAACCCACAAGAAGGACTCACACCAGTCTGTTTTAAGGATCCGCGTTTGGAAGGCCCAAATGATCAGTGGAGGAAGCTAGGAAATCCAGGGCCAGCGGGGTATAAAGGAGATGTGCTGGTGGGATGAGGGTTCCATGCTGGAGCTGAGAAGTCACATTCAAAACAAAGACCAGGGCTGTCCTGAAAAGTACCATCGCCATCCTCAGCAACACGGAGCTCCTGAGCTCTTCCAACAACAAGCACAGTCGAGCACCTGCCAGGAAGCCAGTGTGACAAGTTCATCCCGGAGATTAAGTGGCATACCTCTTCCTCTCCGGAGCCAGGAAGCAATGCTTGATGGGAGGACCAGAGCTTCTCCAGGAGAACCAGCTGCTCAAACAGCAACGTGTAGGAGAACCCACAGTGCTTCAAAGCCTCAATACCCTTCTTCTTCTCCATGTCTCTATTTATGCTGGCAATTTTCCTCAGGTGAAACATCTACGCTCAGTGTCCTGCTAACTTAATTCAGCTGGCATTAAGTTGACCACCAGTTCTTAATCCATAACAACTGCCCAGGTCTTGGCATGCTCGACACATGTGAAACCCGGTTGTTCTCAGAGGAGTGGGACAGTGGTTTGAATTTCTTGGCTCCTCCTGGTTCTGAGTATAAAAATCTCCCACCCCACCCCAGCTGCTGGCCTTCCCTGCATAGGATGAGGCTGTTGTTATAAGAAGCTTGGCTGGCTCTTTGCCTTTTTCCTTTCTTTCATAGAAAGGGTAAGGGTTAGCGTGGAACAGATGGCTACAGCAAGAGACATCCAGTAAGCCAGGTGTGGCAGCACATTTCTATAATTCTAGCACTTGGGAGGCTGAGGCAGAAGGATCACTGGGAGTTTGAGGCCAGCCTTGGATATACAATGAGTTCAAGGCCAACCTGAATTACAGAGTGAGACCCTGTTTCAAAAACAAGCAAGCATAAAACAAAAAATAACAAAGAAACACCCAACAGTAGAAAGAAATATCTGGAAAGTTGTCCTACAATTTGCCATTCAGCCTAAAAAACATGAGTGTGCTTCCTAGGCCTGGTTTAAGAAGTCACCATGGAACCCGAGCAAGGCACCAGTCTGGTGCACAGGCGTGTGCTTGGCTCCATGGTGCTGCTGAGGGAGCCGTGGGGAGAAGCTGGTGACACCTCAGCTGCTCTTGAGTACACAGTTGCAGCTGGATTTGGCTGACAGCTGTGTACCAGATGCATCCCCGGCTCCACCAGCTCCTCAGCTGGATGACCCTGGCCAGACTACCAAGCTTCTCCAAGCCTCAGTTTCCTCTGCTTTGACCCAGGAGTGACTCTTTTTTTTTTTTTTGGTCTTTTTGAGACAAGGTCACACTATGCAGTTCAGGCTGGCCTTGGACTCACTTTGAGCCCAGGCTGGCCTTGGAACTTGTGGTGATCCTCCCACATCAGCCTCCCAGTGCTAGGATGACAGGCATGTACCACCACACCCAGCAGGAATGACATTTGTAGGGACTGAAAGTAACAATATATGCTGTACTTTTCTGGGCACATAATCCACATCCCTGCTAACACTGGTCCTCTTTGCAGAGCCCTTCACAGGGCCAAGAATTTCCTGACATGATAATCTAGGCTGCTATAGTCCTGCAGAGCTCTCTCTGATGAAGGAAATGGTCCACTGTGGCTGTGGGACCCTGCAATTAGAACAAAAGCCGAAGCAGCCGAGTGTGGCCAGTGGCCGCCGTATTAATGCAGCCCCAGACATCACTCCTCTGGAAGTCTGAGCAGTCAGGAGGCCACATCTGGGCAAAGGCGTAGGCTGATGTTCCCCGAGGTGCTAAGTGCTGCATGGTCAGAAAGCCCGAGTGATACTGAGGGAGCACAAGGGCTGCTCAGCTGGGAAGGAAGGCCTCGTGGGCAGATAACAGAGGCGGCTGGCATTGTTGTGACAGTGGCAGTGGCAGCAGCGCGCAGTATTAGATACTTTGCAGAGTCAGAGTCACTGTTTATTTTGGAAGACAATTGTAAAAGTGAAAGAAAGCAACAGGGCAGAGTGAAAATTCAAATATCTCTAATTAGGGCTTAGGGAGTCTGACTCTGCTGCCGGGAGAAAGCTGAGCAGCCCAAGAAAAATGAGGACAGCAGTTTCCAAGACGGGGGGGAGGGGGGTCGGGTTGTACAGTGCTTTGGGGAGTAAGAGGGAGCGTGGGCTCACCCCTGAGAGCCTGATCCCTCTGGCCAAAGGGTCCTTGGCCATGGTTCTGCTGCCGGCATATCTGACTCCAGGCTGCAGCCTTTCAAAGTATCCGAAGAGCATGCACAAGGAAATCAGAGGACGTTTAGGTTAAACTGTTCCATATTTTCAGTTAGGATCTTGGCTGGAGAGACTTTTCCTCACCTGGGAGATTGTGCTTTTCTTTGACATCTGAGCTCGTTTCCCCTGTCTCAGATGTTTACCTCACTGCCCTTTTTATCTCCTCCCCGAAGCAAAAAGAACAGAATTTTGGCTAATTACTCTTAGATCAAATAAACTTGCTTATTGTAATTGGTCATTGTCCGAAAACACTGGGTTCTTCTTAGCCGCGAGGTTGCCTGGCACAGCTTAGTTAGCTAACTATTCCCGGAATGTCTCTATTATCTGTTTTACTTTGCAAAAGAAACCAGGGATTTGTTGAAGGCTGGTAATAAAAGTCTGCCCTGGTCTGAGCCGGGCTGCGTGGAGAGGGCCTGGGAAAGCATGACCTCCATGAATCAATCCCCTCCAACGGCCACTCAATGATGCTATTTGGTTTCCATGTGTCAGAGAATAATAAGCCCACTACCATTTTCGCGGGCCAGCACTCCTGTGTTCTCAGGGCCTGGGGCATGGCTCAGGGGCACAAAGCGATTTTAATGGCCAAACTCACTGAAAGTAAAATGTTTGTTCATAGAGAGAAAAACTAACACAAAGGGGGAAGGGCACACTCCCCCAGAGGCCAGGTCCCGCATGCGGCTCCCAGATGGGGTGTAGGGGGCTGTCATGCAGCAGAAGAGGTGACAGAAGACCCCTTCTCCCTGTCTGGAGACAGCTCTAGTGTGGTGCTCACCTGTTCCATGTGATCTGAAGTCTTTGTGGCTTAGGCATCAGGAACCATTCTGGAAAGTACATAGACAAACATTAAAAACACAAAAGCAACTCTTCAATCTGTGGCGAGGAGTATTATGAAAATCCTAAATGCTCCCTTTGACTTGGGGAGAGAGGATTCAAGTATCCAGGGCATTAATTAATATTTTTAGTCCTCTTTTCACTCAGAAGTTTTATGATTCAGTGGGAGGGAGGTCACTATCATGGGTTGAATTGTGAGGCCCTCACATTCTTATGCTGAAGTCCTAACTCCAAACATGTCAGAAGATAATGCTACATGGAAATAAAATTGTAACAGAAATAATTAGTTAAGACATGGTCCCTGGGGTCTGCCCAAATACAATTTCACTGGCATATGTATAAAATGGGAAAATTCAGATACAGAAGTAGAGAGGTATCTGAGACTAGGACAGATGGAGATGCCAGGAGAAGAAAGCCACGTATGTGCCAGGAGGTGGAGCCTGAAACAGCTTGGTCTCCTCATCCTGTCAGAAGATGCCCCTCAGCCCTTCAGAAGATGCCCTTCATCCCATCAGAACAACTTTCCTTATCTCTCCAGAGGCCCTTGGACCTCTCTGCTTCAGACTTCCCAACATGAAACTGTGAGGTGAAACCTTTCTTTTGCTTGAACCTCTGATTTGTTACTTCATTATGGCATCCACTGCCAACTAACAGAAGTCCCAATATTCACTCAGGTCAGTGAACATTTGTTTAACATGTAGTGTGTGCAGAGAGGAGACAAAGAAGTCAGAAGGAACTCTCCCACCCTCGCAGCACTTACATTTCATTTGGGAGAATGAAACACGTTCATCTGAAAAGTCACAGGACAAATCACAGGGCAAAGTCTCTCAGTCTCAAAAGTGGCCCAAAGGAAGGGGCGAGTTTCACATGCCTCTGCTTAAAGATGAAGTTGAACCTTGGCTTGAATAATCCAAAATAGGTGACAGTAGAAAGTGTAATTTAATTTGGAGCATTTCATCAAGTTTATATTGGCGGTATGTGTTACTTTTGGTATTGACACTGACCCAATTAAAATCACAATGAAAGGTAAACTTTTTCATTCTGGAAACAGTGTTTGTAAGAGCCACGAGAAGGCCTGAAAGGAAGCTAGCTGATGCTGCTTATCAAATTCCCACTTCATCCAATTTGAGAAAACAGTACTTCACTTCTCATTTAAAATGATATGTCTGACTTGTACTTTTCTTAGGCCTGAAATGTAGTTGTTTGGGTTTTAAAAGCCTATTTCTCCAAGTTCTATATGAATGGAACAAGCCAAGGTTGTTTATTGCAATTAAGACTTTAACTGTTCTTGGCCAAAAAACTCATTGAGTGGTGAAATTAATGTGTTCATGCTGGTTTGTGCACAGAAGGACCTAGAAGACTTCCCACGAGATGGTGGTGATGGCTAGAAGAGCTTACCCGTTATGCTTCTAGGCCTAATTTCTCCAAAATAATTTAATAAAAGGCATGCCCGGTTGGCTTTCTATTTCTGTATGTTGCTCATTCCCAGGTTCTCCATCTGAGGATTCAACTATCCATGACTAGAAAAGAGGTTTATAAAAAACTCGCCAGGGCAATTATAATGAACATGTAGATTAATCCTCTTCTTAGTGTCGAAACAATGAAGTATAACAACCATACGACGGCATTTACACTGCAGCAGTGATAGCAAGTATCTCGAGGTGATTAAAAGGTCCACATACGGAAGGCCAGTGCAGGACACATGCAAATAACACCCACATAACAGAAGCGAGCTGGGCATCTGTAGGGTTTGGTATCTGAGGGGCTCCGGAAGCTGATCTCTGTGGGAATGGAAGGATGGTGACCTTTATTGCTCTATAATTTCAAAAGTAGATTCTACTGAAAGCTGAATTGGCAGTGCCAAGGGCTGTGGAGTGGAAGTGGTAATCAGAGGAAGTAGCCTAAGCTGGGTTTCCAAGCTCAGATACAATGACGTGTGAGCCATTTTGCTGGTGGTTTACAGGCCCGGGGGGACCAAGGAGGCTCTTGTACACAAGCGGGTTATTTACTCTCTGCTCAGTGGGACTGCATCTAATTTCAGAGTAACCTGTAAAGATAAGAATATCTGGCACTTGTTAATATGTTTACTTCCAAACTACTTTCTGCAGCCTGTTTGCAGTTCTTCCCTGGCCAAACAAAATTAAAATATTTTCTCATTTAGTCATAGCTCCATTTCCAATCACCAAAATGAAACCCATTTCAATCCTCCCCCGTTCTCTGCTTCTCTCTTCTTAGAGCTGTACGGGCTCTGTGTTCGGGCTGTGGTACTTACACACTGTTGAGTGTTCCTGGAAGCTGGTGTTGACTGAGTTAGTCTGAGCGCCGACTGTGGCCCTCGGCTTCTTCACCCCAAGGTCACATTCGGCTTCTGACCGTGCTGAAGCCGTTCAGTGGGAGGTGACTGGACAGTGCTTCCTTTGGAGCCTGAGTAAAATAAATCCTGTTTGTTTCCCCTTGCTCCTCCTCTGAGAGTGATGAGCAGAGCAGTGGGGCCCTGGCCTCAGCCACTTCCCAGCTGTGAGACTCCAAGATGTTGCTTCATCTCCCTGGGCCTCAGTTTCCCCATATTTCCATTGGGTATAATTACAGTTCCCACTGCACAGCAGGGAGTAGCCACAAGTGCTCCGATGTACCTTGCTTCTCTCAGGTATTTCTGCTTTTTGTATTCTTTGTGTTGCTTTGGTTTTGTTTTTGAGACAGTGTCTGCCCTTAAACTCACTATATAACCCAGGCTGGTCTTGAACTCAGTCATCTTCTGCCTCAGCCTCCCGAGTGCTGGGATTACAGGCGTGTGCCACCACACCCAGTTTGTGCGTTTTGAAAGCTTCTGTAACTGTTTCCTTCTGATGAAATTCTAACCTGCTCCAGTCTGCTAGTCTGATAAGCCTACTTGTATTTCCTTCAGGTCCTTAGCATAAGCCAGAGGTGTGTTTCTTAGGTGTGTGGTGTAGTAACATGAACCCAGGCTGCAATCACCTTTCTGTGGCTTAGGATCTTTGGGACCATGGGAAGAAATCACTTAACCTCTCTCCTTAAGGAATTGAGAAAGTTTTCAAATCTATGAAATGGGCATTATTTCCAATGTAGAAAGGAATAAGCAAGGTCCAGGTATGTAGTAGGGGCTCAAAAAACATTGAGTCTGAGTCCTTTTTCTTCTTGTTCTCAGCCCTTGTCTTGCAGCATGGCCCAGCATGGTGGTGCTCAAGCAGGGGGCGTATTGGCTTCACCTGTGGAGCTTTTAAAAGCCAGGCAGCCCTGACTGCACCCCCTTGAGTCTGACCTAACTAGTCTGGGAGGGTTCAGGCACTGGTGAGTTGCTGTTATTATGGTTTTAATGATCTCCAGATGTTTCTGTGAGGGCCCGGTATAGTGCACACCAGCAGCTCGACATGCTCCCCTGAACCTCATTTCCTCATCTGTGACAACTCCAGTTGCGAGAATTCCATTAATCAATGTAGATAAAAATTGCAGAGCCCGGTACCTAATATTTAATCAGATATTCTGGGATGTGAAAGAGGAAGTGTGACAAGGGAGAAATCAGCTTTCGTAAATTCTACCAGCAAAGGATGATGACAAGAGTTGTCCCAGGACCCAGGAATGACGGTGTTTTCTACTTGATGCTGTGTGGACTGGCGGTGCTGATGTTTCCCACGTCGGTTTTGTAGGCACATTGGCTGAGATGGAGCCGTGTATGTAGCCAGGTCAGTGCAGAGCTGCTAGGAAGCCAGCCAAAGCCCATGCCTATTTATGGCCTATCCTCCCACTCTCATGCAGATAACCTGATTCTCAGTGACCTTGCCTCTCCTCCATTGATTTTTCCCAGTAGTTAAGCTACAAACGATCAATGAGAGAATGATCCCCCAGCAGATAGGAATTTCACACAGCACCATTTCAGGAACCGTCTGTTTCTTTGGCTTCAATAGCCTCTAAAAATAATAGGTCTGGAGGTAGCTTGTTTCCCTTCTCCTTCCAAAGATGTTAGTAAATCATTAGACCAGATTTTCTTCCGTCTCCTCCTGCTGCAGTTCTCTTTGAAATGGTTTTCATTTGAGTTCAATTGAAATTCCAGGCAGAAAAAGCAAAGAAAGTTGCAAAAGGAAACTAAAAAAGCAGACTATTTAAATTTCTGAACTAAATGGAGTAAAATTAAAATGAGGGCAGAGCTAAAGCTTCCAAAGTAAAAATGGCCCATTTTTCATAAATGTTTAATGGTGCTCCTTTCACGACTGACTCAAGCATGGAAACCTCAGTCGGGGGAGATGCCCTGATTGATCCAGAGCACACGAACAGAATGTTTGGAGTCTCAGGTAAAGTGTTTTCTAGTTACACAGTCCTGCCACAATCACCCTGAGGTTATCTAATGGTTTGGTCTGCTCACCACACTTCTGGAATTTCCTAAATACAATGCATTCTCGAGATATCATGTATTTAAATAGTCGATACTGTTGTCTGCTTATTTTGTTATCTCAAGCAGTAACTTTAAAAGTGCACACACAAGTCTCTAGCTCTTTTCCTCTGACCTGCGTTACCTTTCTCCCACCCAGACGCACACTAGCACCCTCCTTATCGCGCTGCCTTCCTCTCCCTCACGGCTGGCTTGGAAGCTCCCGGCTCCTTGGCTCCAGGAGTCTCTACTGACTTTGGAACCCTCCTTGAGCACCTTCTGGGCCGTGCAAAGTGGTGTTCTCACGGACAGTTGCCTTGCTGCTGAGACTGGCCTGCCAACTGACAAATGCAGCTTGTTTTTTTTCTGATCCTGCATCAAAACCTTCTGTGATTCTGAGATCACCGCACCCCATCCTTTGAAGCCCCATCCTAAGGTCTTGGTAGAAGACCCCGCTTCTGGTGGACACAAAAATGGAGAGAGAAGGTGGTCAGGACTCACTTCTCTCAAGGCAGTGCAGTGGTCAGCACCTACCGTTGTACCTATAGATTTTGAGCTTGAGCACTGTCTTCAGTGGATATTCCTTTTTTTGTGTTGCTGAAAACC